AACACATACACAGAGAAGTACCGGACACTAAATGAAAACGTACTCAACATTTGAGCAAGAACAGATACAGGACAGGTGCATGCTGGGGGATTTGTGCCATGACAACTGTGAAGTGTTTCCTGGTTTGCTCTTGAGTATTCCCAGTGTCCTCAATCTCTCTTTGAGGCAGTATTGATCCATGTGGGGTGAAGATGTGGTCACAACAGAGCAGCCTCCCTTTCAATCATCTGGTTTGTTAGCGAGCCTGTGGAGAGCTGCTGCTTTAATATTTAATCGTATGGTTAGATGTTTGCTAAACATCTCCTAACTGCTTTTCTGTTACGTTGCATTATTCAGGGGTTTTCTTACAATGTTACCGTCTCTTCACACGTCAAGCTCGTCAAACAGTGCCACTGCATAGAGACCAGGAAAAGGAAGCAGCAGAAATACAACTAAGCAGCACATAACACATGTACTGTATAAAGACCGGGGCGCCGTGCAATTACCGAGCAACAACAGACAACCCAGCAGTCACATTGTAGGAGGTAACCATGGCAATCAATATGCCTCGATTGTCAAAAAACAGAGTACAGAGAGGGGGTGGTGGAGAGAAAAGAATAATAGACTATCTGTAAGTGTCAAAGGAAGAAGCTTGGGGGATGTTATGAAAGAAACAGTTCCTCATGGACTGGCAAAGGCCACGGCTCACTGAGCCAGGACACAGCAGTGGCCACGATAAGAAATCAGAGTCAAGATTTCAGACAGCTGAGGAGTGAGAAAAGAGCAACAAATGGTGGTACTTTTTAAGGTTGCAGTTAAGAGACGTCCTTGGTTGACTGACTGGACTGTCAGATCCAGTACATCACAAGGCTAACATAAACAGACAAACACAATCAGATTCATGCTTACAGGCAGTTCTGACTCTGAAAGTCCAACTGAAATCACAGTTAGTGATCCCTTATTGCTCTAAAAAATCATGCCAGAGCACTTTATAAAATGTTAATGTTTTTGGCATAATTTGAAGGACTGAAATATTTTGTACAGAAATTCATGGTCACAAGAGGATGAATCCTTGACCTTTACTCTAGCACCACCAGGTGGTCAAAGTTTTTATGTATCCTGTACTTTGGTGATGTGGCTCAATACCTGCAACGTCAGCATGGTTAGCATTATCAGTGTGAGCACAGGTTAGCACAGCTGTAGACTCTTAGTCTTGCTTTACTATGAATTTAATTTAAGAATTGTTTTCTCAAACCAAAAGCAGGACGAGTCATTTAAAACACGTAATTTTCAGAACAGGTATGCTTTAGCCAGAGAAAAAGAAAACAAACAAAAATGCAGTGGATTTTCTATTGGACCTGAACTACAAATTTTGGACTACTACTACTGAAGAAACTTAACACAAACAGGGAGAACGTGCAAAGCATGAAGGACATTCAGGACCTTCCTGATGAGTAGACACTGATAACCACTGAACCACTGTGCTGCCAAACTGATGGATGTAATGTATTCTAAAATGTTACATAAGGAATAAATAGGGAATTTTGGAGATGCTAAATGTGTAGTTGTGCTAATGAGTTATCACATTTTAGTGAGGCAATGTAGAATTAACCCATCATATTCAGTAAAGTGCAGTAGATTCCTTTAAATTTTCTAAAGTAGCAAAGAAATAGGCCTATCAAGTGTAATGTCTAACATCAGGCATCTGGTATGAGTTGGCCTCTAGCCAAGCGGGGGGTAGGGTGGGTTGTTAGGTGCTGTGCTAGCCTTGTTTGCCCTCCTTCCTTTCCTCCATCCTCCGTCCAGCCCTCCCTCCCTCCCTCATCTCCTCCACTCTGAGCACTGCTGGCAGAGACTGTGCAGATCAAAGCATGCACAGAACAAACCGCAGGCCCTCTCACCCTGCAAGAGGTCTGCATTGAAACGCAAGCAGGGACGACGCAACTAGCCAAGGACTAGCAGAGAGGCATGTGAGCAGGAGGAATTAGCCCCACGGTGGCCAAAAATACTTTAATTTTGTTTTCTTTTAGTGCCTTCATTCCTCCCATAAGGGCAGATATAAATTGACCAGTGTATTTCCCTACTATCAGTTAAACTGTAAATACATTTTAGTTAACCAAACACACATTCACAGAAGAACCAAAGCTTGTATGGGGAAAAAACTCCACATAATTGGCTGAAATGTATCAAAACACGAACAAATAAATATGTTTTAACATTTTACTAATAATTGGAGTTTTTGTATTTGTTTTTCTCTCGTCCTCTGTCTCATTCACTCCATCTCCCCAGATGGAGCTCTGCTACTAGCAGGTCGCTGAGCGGTGAGAAGAACAGTAATGGCACATACTGTAGCCTCAGTGCCTGTCTCTGTACTGTTGCCTTGGTAACTTTGGCAGACAGGCTGTAATGTGTGTTATGTCGACCTCTTGGTTTCTGCTGTAAGTATAACTGCAGTCTCTGTTCCTGGCCACTGAAGTTGGGAATAAAGTGCTTTGCTCAATTTCCCCTTCAACACTGACAATACAGGAAACATGGGCTCTTTAAATTAAATTATTAGTCAGTAATCTTCTGCTCAAGACTGCTTTCCAACATTAAACACACACTCCTTGATCGTATCGCCATACCCAACAGTGCCCCAAAAATCTACAAATGAGCTTTTTCAAAACAGAAACAATGACCTGGGGCACAATTTGGGTGCTATAATGAAATGAATTTAGTATTAAGAATATTATTTATTGTTACATAATACCCATGGCACAAATTAGCCACTGTACTTACATCAGCAACATGGTAGTGTATGACACCATTCCACAAAGAAGAGTATAAAATAGGCCAAGTATTGATGGACTAATGCATCCTCTCACACATAACTGACATGTTTAATAGCCAGAGATATTTCCATCCACAGGCCAAAGTCATTATCTGCGCAGGACAGAGCTAAGTCAATACTATGCAGTACACTACCACAGAAACAGGCCTGTCTCAATCGCCTTAAATGACATACCGTAATAGTGTATATATTTATATTTTCATTAAATCAAGAAATAAAATTGTGTACACTTGTATAATTAAAATGCATCTCTTATTTCTGTCTAAATCAGAGCAGCAAAAATGTTATACATCATTTGTAATGTGAGAAGTTCATGTATGTTGCAGCGATAATAAATACACACTGATGTACTTTTATTCAAGCTGTTAAAGATATTCCTATTATGATCTGGACACAAAACTATATGAACAAACTACAAAAACTACAAACTACTCAGTCTGTGAGTCAGATTACTAAACATGACAATGGCAAAAGGGACACACACAAACTCTGACACTGCATGACACACAATAGGTCTTGATGTAGGATAGAGGAGATGACAGGGTAAATGTCTTATTTTAGAATGATATACTTCCTTTATATCCTTTTACTCCTGATGGCCTTCTGAGCATTCCTGCACACTCAGTGACCAACACTAACTATTTCAGAATACTGATGAAGTAACTGAAGTTGTTTTATTGTTGTACAAATTGTGACAATGTGCAGCTCAATCCCCAAAAGGTCAAATCTGGCCTCATGATATCTAACGAGCTGTGGTATGCTCAAGTGCCGCTTTCCATTTATTGTGATTTGATTGTGAGCACATTTGTATCTACAGGCACTTCACATTAAAACCTGCCTTAGCTCCCATCCACTGCTTTCTCTTTTACTTAGGAATACTTTGCTGCATGTGCACCTGTCATTAACAGCTTGTTTAACTAATCATGACTAATTATGATTCCGTGAAGATTATGTCAGTAAGATTTTGTTTCATAATATTATAATCTTATAATTCTATACTAATAATGAACCATTTACGGAGTGCTGATCATTCACTGCACACGTGAATGATTAATGTCACAGTCATGTTTTAATTATGCCAACATAATGATCCCATTCATTTTCATCGATATTGTGATTGTAAAGGTTTTATTATGCCATTAGCCTTCTTATTACTTCCAGCCAACTGGAACGCAAGTCAGACAAATGCAAGAGCTTGAAAAATCAAGCTGTTGCCAGTTGTTGTTGTCCTTATAGCTCACCTGGTAAAGTCCTTGATGCAGTGGCCATGGGTTTTTGGGGAATACACTTCTCTTTGTTGCCAAGAATTAGATGAGAAGATTGTTACCACCAGTGTGCATGCACTTAATATGGAGCTAGAGCCAGCAAGCGATTAGCTTAATTTAGCATGAAAGCTGGAAACAAAGGGAAACAGTTAACCTTGCTCTCTCCATAGTTAAACAAAATCTAACTACCAGCACATTTAACTTTTACTAATCAACAAGTTATATCTACTTTGTTATGCTAATTGAGCGTAACCTAATTGCGTGCTGGCTCCAGCTTCATGTTTAGTGTATAGTCTTAAGAGTGATAAATATTTATAAGAGTTACTTTATTGTCCCTGTGGGGAACATCACCTTTTCACTCTGATTATTAATTTTACACACACACAGAAAACCTATACACATGGAATTGAACTGGCACCTCTCCAGCTCCCAGTATTGACTGGTGGGCTTGAACCAGCCACCCCCCAGTCCCCAAGCCAAGTCCCTATGGACTAAGCTACCCCTGTTCCCAAATTGAGTGATGCCAATCTTCTTATCCTACTCTCAGCAAGAAAGCACTTCAGCATGTGTCACTGACATTAAGGCACTGTTTGGTCCTCAGTTTCGCCTCTGATTCTGATTTAGTTGCTAGTTCCAAAATGTCCTTCCTATGTATTGTTTATATTGCTGAATTGGTAAATTGTTCAGGATCTGCAACATATTCATCACATCATAATTGTTTCTGTGGCTTTGTGGTGTTTGAGTAAGCTTTTAAGTGGGAAAGAAGAGCTTTCAGTCAGCAGTGATGGGAGCTACAGAGCGGTCATTGGCGCTTCAGTACTGCATGTTCTGTTCAGGTTGAGAAACACCTTTAAACAATAACGACTATAAACACAGACATGATAACCAGCTTGTATGTCTCAGTTTTACAGCTCAGTGCTACTCACCTATATACAGCGAGGAGTCCTTCCTGTGTACATGGTCATCGATGTAAGACACTCCCAGAGGCTGGACAGGTGTGGCCCCGATGCCCAACAGGACCTGGGCTCCGATCAGCAGAAGGTACATCATGTTGGTGTTGGCTCTGTTGCCACATTTAAACCCAGAGTCTCGGTTCTCTGACCTGGAGGTGTTGGAGCAGACATCCCTGCCGTCCTCAGCGTGCCACGAGTCCCCAGCCTCGTACTCATACTGATGAGTCAGGAACTCTGGCAGGGCTGACAGCAGTGCCCCCAACGCCATGACAATCCCTCCACAGCCAATCAGGCGGGGTCTGTGGGCCTTGGCGCCAAAGTAGCTGACAAACAGGATGAGGGCCAGGTTGCCGATTTCGAAGCTGCTGGCAATGACGCCCACATCGGCACTCTGGAGGTTGAAGCGTCTCTCCAGAGTGGTCAGAACACTTACCTGTCAGGGAGAGAGGGAGAGAGAGAGAGAGAGCAAGTGTTATAGAGTGTTTTTACAACTAGCAGCCTTTTAGGACCGCAAATGACATCATAGCCAACCCACTGACTTTTTAATGCAGGTTTATACACTGATTTTATCAGCAATTAATAGAGTACAGTTTCTACTAATCTGTCACAAGTATACATTTTATATATTTTCCCTTCTATTAAAATGTTTGTGTAAACAAATAATGCAGGGCATTGAGCTTCAGGTGTTATTCAGTTAAAGCAGGTATGAAAAAGCCATCTGCCACTCAAACCAACAACAGCAACCTGTTGATTGCACACAAAAGCTGAATTGAACATCTTCATCCCCACCATCCTCTTCCTCCACCCGAAACAAGCCTAAGGCTAGCCTGATGCCAGCCTGGGAGAGAGGGAAATGTGCATGTGTGTGGCTTTAGGCAAGAAACTTCTTGCAGCTGTTCTAATTATCAAACGGACACAAACACCTCGAACCGGCTGTGTTCTGGGTGTGTTTAAGTGAGCATCAAAATGGGATCATGTACAGGACTGACAATAAAACATTGGTCGGGAGTTATTTTAAGCTTTTATTAATCATTCATCCACAGCAAGGTGCAGTAGCCTCAAGACTTCTTCAAGCTCTTCCAGCTAAAAAAGGAGAATGACTGTAATGTCAGTGAAATCGTACGGATCATGTATATTATCCA